GGCTGGACGGAGCCCGGGGTTGAGGCGTTGGAAGGAGGGAGCTGCAGAGACGGTCAGTGGGCGGACTTGAAGCCCGGGCTCTGGAAGGGGTGTGGCGATGTCGGGATTTAATACTTTTCAAAAATAAACACTGTGCAGGCCAAGAAAACCCACCCACACCCTGAATGCAGCCAGTTTCCCATCTCTGTCAGATGTCTCCTTCCCCTCTTTTTTCTTAGATATTTTTATTGATTTCAGAGAGGAAGGGAGAGGGAGAAAGAGAAACATCCATGATGAGAGAGAATCGCTGACTGGCTGCCTCCTGCACACTCCACACTGGGGATCAAGCCCACAACCCCGGCATGTGCCCTGACCTCCTGGTTCAATGGAACCATGACCTCCTGGTTCATAGGGCGACGCTCAACCACTGAGCCACACCGGCTGGGCTGTCTCCTTCCCTCTTGATGGTGTCCCTGGCTCCCGATCCGCCTTTCTATCCTAGGCCTCTCTCCAGAGCTCCAGAACCACACGGCCCTGCCCACCTGGACTCCTCCACTGGGGCAGCCCTCCAGCTCAGCTTGTCATCTTCCCACAAGCCTGCTTTTGCCCCTGTCCTGTCCCCATGGGGGCATCTTGGCGGCCATGGCAGAGCCTGGTCCTACCCTCTCCCCACCAGGCCCATCCTGTGCCCTGTGCATTCCTCCCCTGCACATCCCTCCCCTTGTCTCCATCCTGCCATGCCACACCGCAGACCACTGTGTCTCTCGGTGGCATGATGACTGTGACAGCCTCCAGAGAGGAACCCCAGCCTCCAGCCTTCTGTCCGTCTCCATCTCCAGGGCCCAGCCCGCGCTTGGCCTCTTGTTGCTGTTGAATGAGTGACAACCCCAATGGTTGCAACCTGCAGCCAGAATGCTGCACACTCGGCTGGCTTTGGCTCGTCAGTCACTGAATGGCCTTGTCACTTAGCAGACTTCTGTCACACACCTACTGTGCGCCAGGAACAGCCACCAATAAGTCTCTCAAGAGCCCAAGGTCATTGGTGGGAAGGGAAGTCGATAGGTGCGGTCCCCGATGGAACGTGGCGTTGGTGAGCGGGGCTCAGAGCTGGGCATCATGGGGCCTTTCACCAGACTTTGTCCTGGGAGGGCACGTGTTCGCCCAGCGGCCATTCTGTGCCCACCTGTGGCCGAGCCTCAACATCCATCCACAACGTTTGTGCACCAGTCTCCCTTTTCTGAGTGAGGGGCTCCCCTTTGAGACTTCCTCCCTTCCTCCCCTTCCTGCCTCTCTGCCCCTCTGCCCCTTCCTCCCTCAGCGTCCTCACCCTGCCTGTCGCTGTGCTCCCTCTCCCGGGGCATTTGTGTGCACCTTTCTCCAGCAGGGTGGAGTGGACTTTGCACCAAAAAGCCTGAGTTCTTGTCCCAGATCCATCACGTACCAGCTGTGTGACCTTCAACAAGTCACTCAGCCTCTCTGAGCCTCCATTTCCTTAAGTAAAACATGAGTTAAATTTGTTAGATTGTGAAAAATAGATGTGATTCTCTGTATAAAGCACCCAGCTCAGTGCCAGTACAGATCAGGGCTGAGCAGACATGAGTTTGCTGCGAATCACCGGGAAGCTTTCCTGGCCTTCCCTCTCCACCACCAACCAGAGGTGACGCCTCATCCCACTACACCTCCCCCTCGACCTTTCTTCACGTCTCTCCTGGCCCACCCTGAGTGGCAGACGACACAGTAGTTAAGTGCTGGAGAGCTGCTGGTGGGGGCCAGCTGGCATCCTAACTGTCCACATGTCAGGGACTACTGGACGCTGTCAATCAGGGCCAGCCATCGTGCAGGCCCCATGCGGCCAGATCTTCCAGTTTTCCAGAGAAATTAGAAATGCAGATGTGCATGTAAAATCAACCTCTTCAAAATATTGGCAACAAATTCAATGAAAAAAAATATCTGTGGGAACCAATTAAAATACATCTAAGGGCCAATTTGGCTCGGGGGCTACCAGCTTCAACTGCTGCACTAGCTTTGGAGAGTGTGGGTTCAAGTCCCAGCCTTGCTCCTCCCCTGACCTTGGCCAGGCTACAGGCTGCCATCTGTGCTTCAGGCTCCTCACCTGTAACATGAGTGCAGCAATAGCTAACATGTACCAAGGGCTTTTCTTTCTATACGTCGGCCTTTTCTTTCCTCTCAGTAACCCAGTGAGGTAGGGACTGTTAGCAGCTCACGGTCCGAGGCCTGTGCGTGGACCCAGGCAGCCTGGCCCGGAGGCATGCCTGTTAACCTCTGTGCATGGCCCCCGCCCAGGGTGCTTGTGAGAACTGAGGCGCTCAGCGCACCACGCTGACAGCGTAAGCACCCCAGGCACCGATGCTCCTGGGCATGTGCGTGTCCGTTTACAACCATGGCAATAGCAGCTCCTGGTGGGCAGGGGGTGCCCCCCTCTACTTGTCGCCACCTCTTGGGGCCTTGCAGGTTAGCTCAGTGATTTGCAAGCTGGTGAGGAAGAGGTTTGATGGAGGCAGAGGACCTGCCCAGCCTCCAGCCCACCACTCCTGCCTGGGCCTCGCTTGAGAGGGACACAAGAAGAACAAGTCACTGTCCCTGCCCCGGGATCCAGCAGGAGCCCACACTAGCCAGGAACCAAAGAGCAGAGAGCCGAGAGAAGCAGGCATGGTGACCGTGAGTGAGCGGTGCGGGAAGGCCGCAGTAAGGCCGCAGTAAGGCCGCAGCTGGCTTGCAGGGTCCTGTGATGGGGGTTAATTTCTTTAAGAGCGCTCCGAAGACAGCAGACACTGAAATTAGCTAGATGGGACCTTTCCGTCTGCTTCTTATTACCCAGACGTCCGGTGGCCAGTCTTTGATCCTGGAACAGCCCTCCTGCCAGCCCCCAGGGGCCCCTCTCCCACACCCCCACCGCACCAGCCCACAACGATCCCCAGCGCTTGGCCACCAGGACGCCCAGTGACTCCTCTCCTCTGTCTTCTTGTGCAGAAATGGAAGCTCCACTCTCGGAGGCGCCGAGAAGCCCCGAAGACGTCTCCGGGGTGTCACTGCCCACCAGGTAAGGAGCCTGCGAATGGTGATTAGGACGGGACGCCCTCCAGAGGCCCTCTCATGGGTATGCTCTGGCCACACCCTGCTCGGGGCATCGCTTTTCATTTGAAAGATGGAATGGCAATATCTGTGGTACTGCCTTTCCTCTACTCATTGATCGGCCCACACATCCCCTATCCATCATTCATTCATTCAAACATTCATTCATTCATTCATGAACGCTCCTATGGGCCTTCACCAGTGATGGCGAACCTATGACACCCGTGTCAGAGGTGACACGTGAACTCATTTTTTTGGTTAATTTTTTCTTTGTTAAATGGCATTTAAATATATAAAATAAATATCAAAAATATAAGTCTTTGTTTTACTATGGTTGCAAATATCAAAAAATTTCTATATGTGACACGGCACCAGAGTTAAGTTAGGGTTTTTCAAAATGCTGACACGCCGAGCTCAAAAGGTTCGCCATCACTGGCCTTCACTATATGCACCACGTTGGGAAATCAGACAAGATGATGGGCATGACTACGTTTTTCAAACCCTGAAGGGTTATGCAGCATTGACGAGAAGAGAAGCCCAAGAGGGCAGGGACCAGGCTTATCATGGTCACTGTTACGCGTCCAACTCCTGACACATAGTGGGCGTACAAAAGTGTTTGTTACTGGAATGAGTGAAGTACCCCGATGGTAAAACTCCCCTGCCCTCACGCGCACTCGTGCTGTATGGTGTGCTTCATGCTGTGTGGTGTGGAGACGACCTGCACAAACGCACCAGAGCACACTGCTCACGGTCAAGGTGATGCGGCGCAACTGAGCTAACCAGGCCAAGCTGGATGCAGGTTCTGCTCCCACATTTACTAGCCCTGTGTGGGCGGGTCACCTCCGAGGGCACCCCTTCTAGGGCTTGTTCCTCTGCGCAGAGCGACCCGCTCCTCGCCGAGCCTGCTCATCTGGTCACAGCTATGTACCGAGTCCCTGCTCTGTGCTGAGCGCCATGCTGCATGTTGGGTTCAGTTTCATTGCAAACAGTTAATAATAATGATAGGTCAGTTCATCCGGACTTTTCTAGGTTGCTGACTATTATTATTAAGGCATGAGAATGACAGATGAGCAAGTTTCATTGTTCCCATGGTAACTGGCACGGGCTGTACTTTTGTGGGGATGAGGAAGAAAGTCCCAAAAACGGGTTGGGGGAGAAAATAATCAAGTCATCACAGGGGCCTTCCCGATTGGCTCAGTGATTTGCCAGCTGGTGAAGACAAGGTTTGAGGGAGGGCAGGGGACCTGCGCAGCCCCCAACCCACCACTCTACTCCGGACCTCTGCCGGCTCAGAGTGTGGCCCCTCGATACCACCGTGGGCAGGTGGCATTGGCAGGACACTAACTGAGCTCTCCGGCAGGCCCTCCATGGACAGAGGGGCCGAGGAGCCCCAGGAGCCCTCACCATGGTCCCCAAGCCAGGGGAGAGGGGCCAGCATGTATTGAGCATGTGGGAAGGGAAGGGACAGCATTTGCTGGAGCATGAGTGGCCGAGGTGGGAGTCACAGTGCAGGGGGGCTGCCACAGGAGACGGTGGCACCGTGATGCGATTCAGCTGGCCCCAGGCAGAAGAGGGTCATCTGGGTTAATTAAAAGGGTGTCCAGAAGCCCTGGGAAGCTCCCTCCCTCCCTCGGGGCCCAGGAGATTGAGCCCTGGGATCTGGGAACGCTTTGGGGAGAAGAATGCCAAGATTAATGAGATGCGATGAAGGCAAGGCTGGCGTGGCAGGCTGGGCAGAGCGGCTGTGGGTAGCATCAGGGTTTCGAGGGCCACCCACGTTTCAAATCTTCGTGTCTGGCATCTCTGTAACTCTGGTCAATTGCAGTTGGTCTTTTTGCTCAGGGTGTAGCATGTTGGGGAGGGGCAGGAGATTTGGAGCCATGAAAATGCGGGTTTGCATTTCAGCTCCACGTTTCCCAGCTGTGTGGCCTTCCGAGAATTATTTGCCCTCTCTCTGCTTTGGTTGCCTCCTGTGAAAAATGGGGATAAATTAGTGCCCATCTTGCAGGTATATGGCGATGATTCAGAGAGATAATTGTGGGAAGTATTGAGCACCTTTCCTGACTCCTACTGAGCACAATTATTTCCCCCTGAATTCCTCTTGCACTTTAAAGACGCTCAGAAATCCTCATGAGGCACCATATCCTGGTGCTGGGGGCGATGCGGGCTGCACGTCTGTGGCAAGACAGAGGCTTACCCTTCTCTCCTCCCTGCCTGATTGGGCTTCGCAGGCCCTGCCCCTGTCAGGGTGGGTGCCTAACCAATGGGTATCAATTTTGTGCTTGGGAGAGTCTGGCTTTGGTGGTCCTGGGAGGCTGGGAGCTGGGGACGATGTGGTAGGAGGGAGGGAGGATTTGGAAGAATGAGAGTTTGTGTGGGACCCCGGGCTCTTGGTTGGGGAGGAGAAAGCGGCGAGGCAGCAGGAGCAGCTCAGAGGTGGTGGGGAGGAGGGGCACATGGGGTGAAGGGACACGGGGAGGGGCCACCAGCAGGGAACGAGGTGGCCAGGAGATGGGAGGAGAGCGAGCAGGGACTTCCGGAAGGGGTGTCCGGGTGTTAGGGAATTCCCCAGAGGGCAGTTTGGCCTGAAGTATAGACCAGAGCCAGGCAATTAACACTGAGGGCA